TGGAGGGAGAAGAAGTCTGCTGGAGAGGGCAGCTGGGATGGAGGGAGAAGTCTGCTGGAGAGGGCAGCTGGGATGGAGGGAGAAGAAGTCTGCTGGAGAGGGCAGCTGGGATGGAGGGAGAAGTCTGCTGGAGAGGGCAGCTGGGATGGAGGGAGAAGAAGTCTGCTGGACAGAGCAGCTGGGATGGAGGGAGAAGTCTGCTGGAGAGGGCAGCTGGGATGGAGGGAGAAGTCTGCTGGACAGAGCAGCTGGGATAGAGAGATGGTAGAAGCTGCTGAGCTGGAGCTCAGGTGCGGCTATGATGTGAGGCGGTGAGTCTAGGAGGCAGCATGTGGCTGCTCAGCTGAAGCTGTGGGTGCAGGGACGGATGCTGCTTCATGGGGAAGACCTATGCTCACCAGCCGGTGCCCGCTGCCTGCCTGCATGGACTTGGCTGTGGGGACTGTTCAGTCTGAGGGCTGTTTGGCCACTGGCTCCTGTAATAAGGACTCATCCTTATACACCCACAGCCTCTCGTGGCTTCTCTGACTAAGACCCAGTGTCTTAGGAAGTCCAGGCCCAGGCAGAGGGGCTCAGACCCTACACCTGTGAGCAGAGGACAGAGCAGGAACTTGGCTCTTGGACTAAGTTCCCACAGTCAGCACAGTGGGCCGGGTTCGAGCAGGACCTGCCCTGGCGCAGTCGGATGGGAGGATTAGGGAGGATACGTGGACGCACAGCCACTCAGAGCCAGGCAGCCCGGCTGAGCGGTGCACTTGCTACTGGCCCTGACAGAGGCTAAGCAGGCTGAGGATTGGGAAATGGAAATAATTTCAGCAGGTGAAGGTGCAGGGGCCATCTACTACTTTTTGGATATTAAGTTACATATTAGAGTGCTGGGAGCAGGCCGCGGTGCTGCCGGGAATATGTTGGTCTTTCATGGTAGACAGAGTGGGCAGTTCATGGCAGGAGTATCTGGAGAAACCCTTTGCAAGAGCAGAGGTGTCACCAGGAAACACCCGTTTCTGTAGCCACCAGACTGTTTCCTAAAGGAAAGGAACCTTCTAGCCCTTGGATATAAAGCTGGCAATCGGAGCTTGGTTACAGAGAGCAGTTTGAATGTAAGCATCAGTTTCAAATATAAGATTTTGCTTATATTTTAGTTATATACTTAAAGTATTGATGGAAATCGGTGAAAAACCGTGTGTATAATGTGCTAGTAATTCTGTAATGGCAGTTTCTTACCTTGTTTTATACATTACAATCAAAAGAGGAGACGTAAGTGGGTTACATGAACTCCATTGGTGACAGATTAGGGAGGCGGGAGAAAGCAAAGAGAGGGAGAACCTCTGGGATTGGATAAAAAGTAAAATGATGGACACATACTTCCTTTACATGAGTGGGTGCAGGATAGTTAACAGCCAGCAATGAACTCACTAACCATGAGGGGGTTTGTGGTCTCCGCGGAGCGGTGCCTGTGCTTTGAGGGGTCCGGGAAAAGGAAAATCACGTTGACATTCCAACTATTAGTATATGTTATGGTAGATGCAAAAGGACGATAGACGGGCTCAGTTAAGGTAAAGATCGACCTTGTCAGGGAAGATACCGGCCTAGGACATGACTACCCACCATAAACTGCTTTTTAGTTTGAAAAGTTTTCATTTCAGACCATCCCTTGTTGTTACTTTAGGTCTCTGAGTTTGCAAGGCTGCCACGCAGGCCTCGCCTGAGCTTGTCAGGTTAGCATGTGGCCCCTTTTGTCCACACACTGTACATCCTATTCAAAAGAACAATATTTAAAACATAAAATGGAAGGACTGGTGGTTATTGTGCCAGGAAGCCCAAACCCTGAATGTCAGGCTTTGTCATCACCATCAGAAATAGGCCCCGCTGAGCCACAGAAGGCAGGCCCAGCATCTGGCCATTGGGAACAGCCTGCAGGAGCAGCCTCGCACCTGGCCTGCCGCTGCTGCCGCAGCTGAGAAGGCCAGCTCCCCACTTCACAGCAGAGGCCCAGGGACCTTGGGGACATAGAGCAAATCAGAGCAATGGTTATGGATTGAAATTTTATAGGAGGAAGTTCTTGTTCTCAGGAGACGCACACTGAAGTGTTTTAGGACGAAGCATCTTGATGCCTGAACTTACTTTCCAATGGTCCAGGGAGAAAATGGGTGTACACAAACACAATCACACACATAGGAGGGCTGTGTGAGGGCACAAAGAACACAGTGTTAAAATGTGTTAAGTCTAGGTGGTGAGCTATAGCTGTTCATTGCACAACGCTTCCAAATCTTGGGGAAGATTAAATATTTCTAAATTGAAAGTTGAGAAAAGTGCCGAAACCGGTTTGGCTCAGTGGATAGAGTGGCGGCCTGCGGACTGAAGGGTCCCAGGTTCGATTCCGGTTGGGGGCATGTGCCTGGGTTGCGGAGACATCCCCATTCGGAGATGTCCAGGAGGCGGCTGATCGATGTTTCCCTCTCATCGATGTTTCTAACTCTCTATCTCTCTCCCTTCCTCTCTGTAAAAAAATCAATAAAATATATATTTTTTTAAAAGTTGAGAAAAGAAATAATATATTAAAGTGTTTCTAGCCCTAGCCAGTTTGGCTCAGTGGATAGAGCATCAGCCTGTGGACTGAAGGGTCCCAGGTTTGATTATGGTCAAGGGCTCAATCCCCAGTAGGGGGCATGCAGGAGGCAGCCAATCAATGATTCTCTCTCATGAGGTTTCTCTCTCCCTCTCCCTTCCTTTCTAAAAGCAATAAAAATATATAAAATATAAAATAAAAAAATAAAGTGTTTCTAAAAAAAATCAGCTAAAAGAAAAAAAATTATGTAGAGCCTTGTTTATTCCTAGATAGTAGCCTACATGCTATAAATACATACATTTGTCCTAGACTGGTAGCTTTCTAGATGTACCCACTGCACCTGATGCCAAAGACTGGAGTCCCTATTAAAAGAGTACTTGGGGAGAAACCAAGATGGCGGCATAGGTAAACACTGGAAATTGCTGCCTCCCACAACAACTTCAAAAATACAACTAAAAGGCAAAACGGACATCATCCAGAACTACAGGAAGGCTGGCTGAGTGGAAACTCTACAACTAGAAGGAAAGAGAAAAGCACACTGAGACTCAGAGGAGGTGCGGAAGTAAAGTGCAGAGGTACCGAGGCGCATGTGGAAAGGGCTGGCAACTGAGGACGCAGTTGTCTTTTTCAATCGGGAGGGAGTCTCAAGCTCCCGACTGCTCTGAACTCCAGTTCCGGGCGAGTCTCTGGGGACACAGACTCATACTGGGGAAAAACTGGACTGTCTGGCAGCGGGCAGAACTCGGAACTCAAGGGCGGCTTTCTCTCAGAGGTGCTTGCAGCGATTACCGCGACACTGAGACTCAGGCCTCTTAGGATAGGGCGGAGGATCAGCCATAGCTGCTTGCTCCACCCTGTCTATGCCCTGAGACCCCGCCCCACCCAAGCTGCGAGAGAGGCTTTTGCATATGAATGCCCTGGCCCTTAAAATCTGAAAATTACCTAACAAACTGCAGCTGGGCCAGACAGACCCAGAACTTCCAAGAGAAGGCCCAAGGCCCCACAGCAGCTTGCATTGCTTCACAGCTGGGCTTCATCTGGGCACCTCCAAACCCCAAAAAAGGAAGGGGAATCTACAGATCTCTTTGTGGCTCCTGCTGGGTAGCCTCAGGCAGAGGCTAAATTAGCACCTCCTTAGATCCAAGAGCCAGTGTACCCAGTGGTGAGAGTGGGACCATCCAGATTACAACTCCTCAGATCCATAAGGGACACACTCAGGGGGCAGACTCAGTGAGCACCAAAGCCTCACTGAAGCAAGTCTTGCCCCATAAGGGTGTCTTCAGCACAGAAGTTCTCCCACCATAGACACAGGTGATTCTCACAGCCAATTGGCCTGGAGGTCAATTCCTCCCAGTGATACCTACAACAATCAAGGCTTAACTACAACAAGACTGTGCACAAAGCCCACAAAGGGGTGCACCAAGAGTGTCCACCTCAGGTAATTGGGGAGGCTGAGCCACTGGGCCCTATAGGACACCTAGCACACAAAGCCACTCTACCAACACAGGGAAGCATAAAAAATGCGGAGACAAAGAAACAGGTCACAAATGACAGAAATGGAGGAAAGCAAACTACTGGATATAGAGTTCAAAAGCACGGTTATAAGGTTTTTCAAGAATTTTCTAGAAACCGCCCATAAATTTAGTTAGACCCTGGAGGATATGAAAAAAGACCAACTAGAAATTAAGCATACACTGACTGAAATAAAGAATAATATACAGAGATCCAACAGCAGACAAGAGGATCTCAAGAATCAAGTCAAAGATTTGAAATATGAAGAAGCAAAAAATACCCAACCAGAAAAGCAAAAAGAAAAAAGAATCCCAAAATACGAAAATAGTGTAAGGAGCCTCTGGGACAACTTCAAGTGCACCAACATCTGAATTATAGGGGTGCCAGAAGAAGAGAGAGAGCAAGATATTGAAAACCTATTTGAAGAAATAATGACAGAAAACTTCCCCTACCTGGTGAAAGAAATAGACTTACAAGTCCAGGATGCACAGAGAACACCCAACAAAAGGAATCCAAAGAGGACCACACCAAGACACATCATAATTAAAATGCCAAGGGCAAAAGACAAAGAGAGAATCTTAAAAGCAGCAAGAGAAAAACAGTCAGTTACCTACAAGGGAGTACCCATATGACTGTCAGCTGATTTCTCAACAGAAACTTTGCAGGCCAGAAGGGAGTGGCAAGAAATATTCAAAGTGATGAATAGCAAGAACCTACAACCAAGATTAGTCTACCCAGCAAAACTATCATTCAGTATTGAAGGTCAGATAAAGAGCTTCACAGATAAGAAAAAGCTAAAGGAGTTCATCACCACCAAACCAGTATTATAGGAAATGCTTGGAACAGGGGGTCCCTCGGGGGTGAGGACGACGGAGCCCACCGCGCTAGGGCGCTTGCATGCACGACTCCAGAGACCAGGTTCAGAGACACAGATCTAAGTTTATTGAGGAAGTACAGCCGTATATAATGGGGCAAGCAGCCAATACAATAGGGACATGCTTGCTATGTTATCCAATGGCCGTGAGGGTCGGGGCTAAGAGTAGGTGGCTCTTGGAGATTTGTCAGGCGGGTGTTGCCACTTCCTGGTGTGCCAAGAAAGCCTGTTTGCTGGAGTGTGCTCACAGCATTGCTTCGGCCGAAGCACTGAGATAAATCTTTTGAGCTCTACCCACATCTCCCCCTTCCTTTTTTATAAGCACCTGCTGGATGTGGATAATCATAGCTTGCTGTGCATCTATTCTTTGGATCATGAAGTAAAAGCAGCGAAACAAGCTGAATGCAAGGAGGCCTCCTGCTTCTAGGACGGCCCATATGAATATGTTAGCAGGATTTAACCAGGAGGTTAGACGGCTGTGGGCATCACTTAAGAAAATAAACTCAATGGGTTTCACTTGGGTATTGTTGATTCTTAGGATTTCTCGCTGGAGCTTATAGGTGCTGTTTAGGAATGCCTGGCTGAATGGACCTTTAAGGAGATTTGCTAATTTTTGCGCTCCCAGGAGGCATTTCTCACTGGAATGAGTGTTACACAGATGGCACATATTAATAGGAATAATGTCTCTGCTGACGGATTGCCTTCTGGTGCCAGGCGTGTGGCTTGGTCCTGTAGATTCTTGATGTTTCCCCAGGTAATGTTGTGGGCCCGTCAGTGCCTTGGTTGCCTCCGCCGCCGGGGCTAGTTGTCCTCTATCGTCAGGTCCTCCATTTCCTCTACCGGGGGTGATGGTGATGGTGGTCTACCACTCATCGCTGGTGGTGCAGGGTTTGATGTTACGGGCAGGGATTTTTCTCACCTTCTGGAAAAATACAAGCAAACCCTCTCCCTTGGGTTAAGAGCGGGTCAGGGCCCTTCCAAGCCCCAGTTAGTGGATCTCTCCACCGGACCAAAGGGAGAGGTGTTGGTATGTCTCTGAGACCTCCCCAGTGTTTAAAAATGGGAGGAAGACCGTCGGGGGCAAAATGAAAATAATTGAGGGTTATGAGAGCCTGTAATAGTTGCTGTTGAGGCGTTAATCTTTGGTCTATCTTTCCCCCTCCTTTTTCTTTAGTAAGCTGGATTTTTAACTCTTTATTTTGTCTTTCTATTATGACTTGCCCTTGTGGGTTGTAATGGTATGCCAGTAACGTGCTTGATGTTATGTTTCGTGAGGAATTGCTGAAAAGCCTCGCTAGTGTAGCAGGGGCCGTTATCTGTTTTAATTTCCCAGGGGAAGCCTAATGTTAAAAATGCCCCGTTGAGGGTTTCTATTGCGTGGCGAGTCTTTTCACCTATGTGAGCTTGAGCATACGTGGCCCCAGAGCAAGAGTCAATGATTACATGTACATATTTGAGCCTACCGAAGCTGGGAATATGGGTCACATCTGCTTGCCATAAGGCATTGGGTTGGAGCCCCCGGGGGTTGACCCCTTGTGGCTGGAGGGGGCCTAAAAGCAATAGGGGGCCGTAGGTTTTGCATGCCCACATGAAATGCTTGCAGCCAGAGAGGGTTAAATGAGGAAATAGCTTGTGCAAGCTAGCTGACTCTATCTCTGGATTGTTTTTCCTCTTGTCTTCATGGTTGGAGCATTCCTGACAATTCCTCTCTGTTGCAGGAATCCACATGGTCTTGGAGTTGTTTTCTGAAAATATACAAACGTATTCTCGACCAAAGGTTAATAAAGGAAACTTTACTTGGGGTTCTATTTATTTTTGCTTAAATGAATTTCCTTTGGCTTATTTTGACACCACATATGTTTTTCATGGGTGTCTTGCTGTTAGCATTACAAATGAAAAAATTTTTCTAGATGTAAATTAGTTACAGGATATTTTTCCTTACATGGTATTTTTCCACTATCCCCACTTTTTTGGTTTAATTATTAGGAGGATTTTTGGAAAATTTATAATGCAGTCTAGATGACTTTAAATTTTAATTTTTTGTACAAAAATATGACTGCTTTAGGTTCATTGCATGTTAAGTAATTTTTCCATGAAATGAAAATTTTGGTTAATACTTCTTGAGCCAATTTTAATTAATCTGAAAACTTGACTACTATTTTACTGTCAAATTTAATACTCTAATAACAATCTTAGTTTACACTGTAAATATTAATGGAAAGGATTATTTTGCATCCTTGAGAAGGCCCTGAATATTCCTGGTGTTAGGCTGGATTTAGATATAGGGAAGCTGCTGTCAGCTAAGTCTCTGTTTTCTGGGTATCGATCTTGGCTGGGCCAAGTCTCTTTCTCCAGAGAGGGCCCAGCTCATGCCATTGGGCAAGAGACAGATCTATGGTACTAGCCCAGGGGTGGGCAAACTTTTTGACTCGAGGGCCACAATGGGTTCTTAAACTGGACCAGAGGGCCGGAACAAAAGCATGGATGGAGTGTTTGTGTGAACTAATATAAATTCAAAGTAAACATCATTACATAAAAGGGTACGGTCTTTTTTTTTTTTTAGTTTTATTCATTTCAAATGGGCCGGATCCGGCCCGCGGGCCGTAGTTTGCCCACGGCTGTACTAGCCACTATGAGGCTTCAACCTTAGCATGAACAGAGAGCTCAGGCAACAGCTGTGGACAATTGGAAGAGGGACGCCCTTGGCAAAAAGGGCAAGAGAGGTCAATATAGAATGCTCAAGTGTGTTCCCAGGGGGCCTTCCACACAGTGGAAGGGATTAAATCTTTTCATGTCCTTATTAAATTGCTGCCAAACATTTAAAGAATTAGTTTGTAAGCTTGTTTGGAATAAATGTATAATATGCTGTTGTAAAATATTAAAAATTATTAATGAGCTTTTGTTATTTTAAATTATATCTTAAAATTCTACTGCTGTATTTTAAGAAATATTAAACAAAATAACTTGTTTTGCCCTTTCTTAGAGGCAAAAACTTAAAATATGTATTTATTAATTTTTATTTGATAAAGCTTTCCATGTGATTTCAAGTATATTAAATTGGCTTTATTAAAAAATCCTTTAAGAAGACAGAATAAACTTTTGAAAACATTTCAGGGCCCATGAAATGTCTCAAAGTCATTCCTTGGTTATAGTATTGAAATCTAACTTGAAGGATCATTAAATATATATGTGTATATATGATTTAAAGATTATATATTTTGAATTTCGAATTTTTCAGAGAAAGCACAAGACCTTCTTAGAAATAAATTTCTATACTTTAGGCATTTAGTTACCACAATTATAATTTTTCCCAATTTAATTTAACTAGAACTTTAAACTCTTAGCTGGCAAGTTAAACATTCAGCATTTCTTTAGATTAATAAGAGCAGGTGCTTCCTTCCTTATGTAATTTTAAGTATATTGTACCAGTCTAATTTAGTACTGGAAGGGTTAAAGAGAAGAGAAAATTTGTTGTGCTTACTAACAGCTTGTGTCCTTGAGTCCAGCATAGTTTAGATAAGTAAAAATTAACAAAAAACTCTCTCTCCCTGCTCTCCCTGCTAACGGCCCTTTTTTTTTTTTTTCCTGCATTAACCATTTGGATATTGGGGATATTGTTGCAGATCCGGTGGCATTTGCTGCAGCTGTGGGGTTAACATTCACAGGAAAGAGTCCAGGGGTCTCCAGCCCTAAAGACGTCTTTGCTCTATCCCTCTGGCTACACATGAACTGATATATCCCTGTCCATGGATTGTCATCCGTGTCCCCCACGAAAGGATTACTTGGGGGCCGCTGGGCAGTTAAACCTTTTGTTCGCTCTGTGAGGGGAGCGGGGGAGTGACTCTGGCAGGAAGCCTCCTGGTGAGACTCCCCTGCTTTCGCCTCGCTAGAGGTTTTTTCGGGAGGTTTTTCTTTCTCAGTTTCAGTTTTCCTTGAGCTTTGAGAAACTACTTTTGACTTGTCGAAAACAGCCCAGGGATCTGCGGGGGCAGAGGGCTCTGGAGGGGAATAGGGAGGCAGAGGGTCTTCTGTTCCCCCGCCCGCACCGACGGTGGCGGAGAGAGCCTCCGGTATGGGAAGTGCAGGCTCGGGCAGAGCCCCGCTTAGGCAGGCTAAGATTGCTAAAATAGCAGGCGCGAGAGAAAGCGGACAAGTCTTTCCCTCATGGACTTCTGCTGATTTTATCCTCTGTAATGCTTTCTCCCATGTACTGGGATCCCAAATGGGGGCTTCTAGCAGCCAAGGGTTAAATGCTATTAGGACATCCCAGAGCTTTTGTAGCTCCTTTTCTGTTACTTTTACTCGCCTACTCTGTAACAACGCATGAAGCACCCGAGCCTGAGGGGCTTGGGCAGAGGTGGGAAGGTTTCCCATCGTTACAGAGGGTCACTCACCCGTCCTGGAGCATGCTGTGCCAGGGTCCCTGTTCAAGGCGCCAGATGGAACAGGGGGTCCCTCAGGGGTGAGGACGACGGAGCCCACCGCGCTAGGGAGCTTGCATGCATGACTCCAGAGACCAGGTTCAGAGACACAGATCTAAGTTTATTGAGGAAGTACAGCCGTATATAAAGGGGCAAGCAGCCAATACAATAGGGACACGCTTGCTATGTTTTCCAATGGGCGTGAGAGTCAGGGCTAAGAGTAGGTGGTGTACTGGGCTGCATATCTGGCACTTCGGCCAGAAGGGGCGCGCTGTGCTGTCTGTTCCTAAAACACATAGATAGGAAGGTACTGACATCAGGCCAGGCCTTGAGATATGGTCTCATGGCCCCTTCCCAGCACTCTGTACTCTCTATTCCTAGAACACATAGATAGGAAGGTAGTCACTGTATGATGCTATACTGTGTTGAGAACTAATTATGTAAACAAGGCTTTGTAACTTTGTGGTTTTTGCAAATAAAAATGCTGTAATTCCTGTAATCTGGGCTGCAGTTCAGCCTCTGCTCCGGCAGGGTGCTGTAACTATAGTCAGCTGGCCAGCTTAATAAAGGCTCTTAAATTTAAATTCTGAGTCGGTGGTCTATCTTGCTGAGTGAACCCATAACAGTGGCTCTTGGAGATTTGTCAGGCGGGCGTTGCCACTTCCTGGTGTGCCAAGGAAGCCTGTTCGCTGGAGTGTGCTCACAGCATTGCTTTGGCCACAGCACTGAGACAAATCTCTTGAGCTCTGCCCACAAATGCTGAAAGGTATTCTTTAAGAAGAGGAAGAAGAAAAAGGTAAAGATAAAAATTATGAACAGCAAATACATATCTATCAACAGGTGAATCTAAAAATCAAGTGAATAAAAAATCTGATGAACAGAGTAAACTTGTGAATATAATAGAACCAGGGGCACAGAAAGGGAGTGGACTGACAATTCTTGGGGGGAAATGGGTGTGGGGGTGCAGGAAGAGACTGGACAAAAATCGTACACCTATGGATGAGGACAGTGGGAGGGGTAAGGGCAGAGGGTGGGGTGGGAACTGGGTGGAGGAGAGCTATGGGGGGAAAAAAGAGGAACAACTGTAATAATCTGAACAATAAAGATTTAATTTAATTTTTAATTTTTAATTTTTTTTATATTTTATTGATTTTTCACAGAGAGGAAGGGAGAGAGATAGAGTCAGAAACATCAATGAGAGAGAAACATCGACCAGCTGCCTCCTGCACATCCCCACTGGGGACGTGCCCGCAACCCAGGCACATGCCCTTGACCGGAATTGAAACCGGGACCCTCAGTCCGCAGGCCGACGCTCTATCCACTGAGCCAAACCGGTTTCGGCTAAAGATTTAATTTAAAAAAAAAAAAAAGACTCATGAAGAATCTTTGACCCTCCCCCCTTACCCGCCCAAAGGAATTTAGATAGAAAAACCTGCTTAAAGGAAGGGGCTACCACCTTAGCATCATAATATAAACTAAGTATAGCAGACAGGGAGAAATCTAGCAAAGGCTATTTATGGAACTGCCCTCTCTGTCCTGTTGTTTTGGGTGGCTCAGCATGTTGTTTACTGCATTTGCTGTGTCTTGTCTACCTGCGTATTGCCTGCTTTCCCTTTGAAATCTCAGACCCCTGCCTTTCTTCTCCTTCATCCAAAATAGCATAGAAGCCTCAATTGTCCAATGTGTCTTTGGGTCTCATATTCTTATGGCACCCCCACATGTACATCTGTTACCAGAGAGCTACCTGTGTCGGAGGGACTCTCCCCTTCTCAGTTCTTTTTTTTCAACTCTGATTTCATGTTTTATTTTCTGGAAACATTTCATGTCTTCCAAGTTCAGAAATAAAAATAATATATTTATCCCTTAACCCTCCTCGATTCTTGACACGCTCATGAGAAAGAATCCAGACAAGTGACAGAAAGCAGTATCGAAGCAAATCAAGCAAGTTTATTAAGAATGCACTTGGCATAAGCACAAGCAGGCAACAGCTAGTCTGAGCGACCCAGTAGGTGGGGATTTTCCCCTATAGGTTTCAAGGATCCCCTGCCGGATATCTTGGGCAACAGACTAGATTTCAAGGTTCCCCTTGTACATTGTTGTGGCTTTTCCCAGAGTTTATGAGAACATCTGGCGATTTTATCTTGGTGAGGATTAAAAGAAAAAGTTCTAGGTCCGCCCTACCTGATTTGGCTCAGTGGATAGAGCGTCGGACTGTGAACTGAAGGGTCCCAGGTTCCATTCCAGTCAAGGGCATGTACCTTGGTTGTGGGCACATCCCCAGTAAGGGGTGTGCAGGAGGCAGCTGATCGATGTTTCTCTCTCATTGATGTTTCTAACTATCTATCTCTCTCCCTCTCCCTTACCCTCTGTAAAAAATCAATTATATATATAATATATATTCAGTATATATATGAATTTCTGACCTAGAGTCAGACAGCTGACTAGAAGCAAAGTTGGGACAGAAATCAGATCCCCTGGCCCCAGGCATTAATCAGATGTAGTTCAACAGCTTAACACAGATGACCTCAACCTAATCCCCGGACTTAACATGGAAAAAGGAATTTTTTTATGTAATTAAGGTTATGAACCTTCAGTAGATTATTCTGGATTATCCTAAAAGCATAGAAGTTTTCCCAGGTTGGTCAGAGAGATGAGGTAGAAGGAGGAGAGGAGATTTGAAATATGAGAGGGACTTAACTTGCATTGGTGGCTTTAAAGGTGGAGAAAGGGGACAAGACCAAGAAATGTGGGTGGCCTCTAGAAGCTAGAAACAACTCTCAGCTGAGGTCAGCAGGAAAACACACATCTCAGTCCTAAGACCACAAGGAACTGAATTCTGCTAATAGCCCAAATAAGCAAGGAAATGGGTTCTCCCCTAGATTCTCTGGAAAAGAAAGCAGCTGACTTGATACCTGGTAAGTTTCACTGTTGTAATGTAACCCGCGAATCACAGAAGGACGCCTCAAGAAGTCGAATTAAGGAGTCATATTAATTGCAATCCTGGACTATGAGGGGACATTTCCCAAATCTCATAATAATAAGATGGTCACAACTCCAGGTTTATATAGGCAAAAATCACAAAGGTATTGATTACATCCCAGGGTTTGGAATGAGGAACCTGGTTCCCAAAAAAGCAGTTTACAGAAGCAGAATTAAGCATGTTAATTACAGTTTTGGGTCTCCGGATCACTGAAACACATTGTCTGGGACCGCTGGGTTGACAGGAACACATTATCTAGAGCCCTCGGGTCTTGAGACCACTGAGTTGCCAGGAACACATTATCTAGAGCCATCGAGGCAATTTAGAGTAATTGTGCTGTCCTGGTCTTGGGACCACTGAGTTGACAGGGAAACATTATCTGGAACCCTCAGGTCTTGGGATAATTGTGCTGTCCTGGTTCCCAGGTACAGAGGAATTTGCTTTCTAAAACCAGTAAGATCACAATCAATGGGATATTCACATTACAATCAATAAGGCATTCAATCAAATGGGATGATTTATACAATTCAGAAAATCAAAATAACTTTTCTATTGTTAAACAAAGCAAATAGGTACAGAAGCCAAACATCAGGGTTAAAGTTAAACTATAGTTTCTACCTGAGATGATTGCTACCATACTTCATCACATCAGATGGATACCTGCAGAACAGTAAGATAATAATTGTGGGTTTTGCCGGTGTGGCTCCGTGTTTGAGTATTGACCTATGAACCAGGAGGTCACGGTTGGATTCCCGGTCAGGGCACATGCCCAGGTTGTGGGCTTAATCCCCAGTGGGAGGGCATGTGGGAGGCAGCCAATCAATGATTTTCACTCATCATTGATGTTTCTTTCTCTCTCCCTTTCCCTTCATTTCTGAAATCAATTTTAAAAAGTTTGTGGGGTTTCCCCCCCCCCCCAGATATATACTAGAGAACACACAGAACCAAAGGCAGAGCTGAAGGGGCAGATCTCAGAAGGGCAGGAGCCCAGGGGTTATTAGAACTCTGAGGGACTGTCACAGTGACGGGGCTCCATGCACTGCGTGTCTCCACATGTCTCCATAAAGTGTCCAGTTCATGGGAGAGGATTCACTCTTCCAGTGGGGCCCACACCCATCCTGTGGTCAGGGGAGAGGTCCTTGGGGTTGTCATCATTTCACAGGGGGTTGGGAAGATAAGGATTTCCTAAAAGGAAGGACATTTGCTCACTACAATGTTCAATCATGGTTCTCCTATTAAAAACATTTGAACAACTGTTCTTAAATGAGACTTCCATCGCCACATAGGCCTCACCGTAAAAATATTGTCATAATAATGGTAGCAAATTATTAGTCCTTCGACTCTGCCTCCACTCCTCTGTAGGGAATTTTTTTGTATTTACATAATACTCCCTGCATGCTTAGCCTCTGTGGAGTGCCTGTCACTCAGTCTACTGTAGAAGTGAGTAGTCCATTCCTCCTGTTGGCTCCATGGGGTGTGCGCCATTGTCTTCTCTGGCTATGCTACCAAACTAAAGAATTTTGTTCACCTGTACTCATCAGAGTCTAATCAAATCAGAATGGGAGTTTGCAGCAAAGAAAGTAAAGGTTTCTTTTTAAGAAAATGATGCCAAACCTGGAGTCACAGATGAGTTGTTGCTCTGAGACCTGGCTCCCTATGGCTTCCAGGGGATGGGCTATATAGGGGGAATCATTAATCACGGTGACTAAGGGAGTTAGGCTCATGGTCTCTATTGATTGGTTGGTGCTAGGGTGGGAGGTCCTGATATCAGCCACGGCAATGCTCTGTTGGGTTTCACATGGGTGTGGTCAGTGAGGCCAGTCTGCTTTTCTGGGTCTGGAGCTGAAACACAACCAATGCCTACATATTATATTTAGCTTGACTAAAACTCAATTTCTGTGGTCAACAGATCTGAGGCTTTGTTCAGAGGATTATTTGATACTGACCAAAACCTTATTGTCCTGAAGTCTTGATGATTAAGGGACTGATTGTGCAAGGGAGAGGGAAGTGGCTGAGGCAGGGTGCTCCTAGGATGGACAAGGCCAGTTTGAACCAAAAGGAAAGAAGGAGAAAATTCCAGATGAAAGAAATGAAGTTTCTGTGCAGTGTTTCTGCTCAGTTACAGCTGCGGGATGATCTTTCCTGTCTCTGCTGATCCCACAGACAGACAGGAAGTTCTGATGTGGGCACGCTCAGCT